GTCCGCACTCTTCAACAACTGCGGCTAACATTATGCCACTCAACATGACTGTTCGAAAAGGTTCACACTATGTAGTTCAACAGTCGTCCGATAAATGGCGTCAATGGGGAGGCTGCAAAAAAATCAGCCCGGAAACTTATGGACCGCACTGTGTACGTAATTTACCCCAAGATGCGCTCCAACCGTTCAAAGAGGCATCTGAAAAGATTTCTCGGGTAAATCTACTGGAACGAATTTTATTAGACTGATTAGGGTTAGAAAAAATATTAATCCACCATGTAAAGTCTTTCTGAAGATAAGAAGGAATTTTCATAATTGCTGAATAATCTTCGTTGCATTTAGTAAAAGACAAAAATTTTTCTCTTTCAAAAGCCTTAGTATACAGCAGTCCATTCTGGACCGCTGGGCATACTGAGATGAGAGACCCGATTAAACTGGCGAACTCTCTTATGGAACACTTTACCCGGCGAGTCATGTTCATTGTTAGGCCTAGTAACTTTTCCCGACGCTGAGGAGGGATCGAAATCGATTGTTCGTTGGAGTCAAAAATAAAGCTTAAATACTTGCATCTGGAAGATGGTTCAAGGTTAGATTTAGAAAAATTGATTACAAAACCCAAGGCTTGAAAGAGATTTAAGGTACTATAACATTAGTACGGCACTCGTCGATGGAGAAACCTGAGAGAAGAAAATCTTTCAGATAAACAATAGATTGATAACGTAGAAAAGTGGTTACAGGACGGAGAATTTTCGTAAACATATAAGGAACCGTAGAAAGACCAAAAGACAATGCTGTAAATTGATAAGTAATTCTGCGCCACTGAAAACATAAAAATTTTCTGTGCTCCTCGAAGATTGGTACTAATAAATAGGCGTCTTCAAGATCGAGAGTAGCCATCTGCGTTCCTGGGAGCATCAAGCGAATAACAGTCCGCCAGTCCTCTAATTTGAAGTGTGGTTTGATATACTTATTCAACTCTCGCAAATTCAAAATGAAACGTTTACCGCCTGACGACTTTTTTGTAAGAAAAAATAAAGACAAAAATTGATCTTCGCAAGGCTCTACAGAAATGATGGCTCCCTTAAGTCGCAGACGTTCTATCTCCGCGTGACAAAGAGAAGCATTAGCGTGAGAAAATTCCGGTTTAGAGAGGGAGGCTCTCGTTGGTGTCACAGTGGCGAAAGGAATGCGATAACCCCGTATTGCGTCCAAGACTAGCGGATTCATTGATGATATCCGACCATTGATCGTAGAACTTACTTAGTAGACCGGCGGTTCTTACATTATTTAGTGGTGGCGTCGAGTTCGGGACCGAGACTGGGAGCGATGGGGGCGGCTTTTATAATAGGAGCTGGGAGCTCCTGTTTGGCGAGCCGACGAAGGACAAACAGAAGGCCTCCGGTTTCCCGAAAAAACTGGTTTGGCCGGAGCGGGCTGGTTTTGCGGCTGAGTTGCCTGACGTACAGGTTGTAAAGTCTTTTTCCCCACCTGAGGTGTAATCTGGCTAACTCACATCCGGTCTTCTCACACGCCTGCGCTGCCTTGAGAGTCTCGGCGAAATTCTGACCAAACAGAAACTCGTCGATGGGAGCAGAGTCCGCGGCATTTTTACCAATAATGTTTAAGAAAGGTTTGGTGAAGGCCCTTCCGGTTAGAGAAAGGCGATAATGGTGGTCGGACAATAAATGGATGCCCTCCGAGAAGAACGTCAGGGCTGACCTTGCTTCGTCATTAAGACTATGTAAGACCTCCGGTCTTAATAGAAGTGACATGCCTGAGCCAAGGGCATTGAGGCAGGCGCCCACCTGTGCCTGTGAAAGCAATTGATACTCATCGCGCTTG